CGATCTAGCCGCACCACCTCACCCTACCAGGCCTCAGCAGGGTCACCCTCGGGCCGCATGGGCTCACCTCTGACGATGGTCGACAACGTCAACCCTCCGCTGACTAAACAGCCTACTCACACTTCGTCTCCAGTCAGGGCTAGTATGACTGCCGTGCCCCAGCACTACAGCTCCACTCTGCCCCGCTCCGTGCTCCACAACACCGACCCCTACGGACCCCAGAGTTACGACATTTACGAGAGAATGACGCGACCTGACAGCCTCGCAGGTGCTCCGCTGCGCACACACATATGCACACACATACTTGCTCTGTACGGTGCATCAGTATTTTATATATATTCTTTTGAAAGTCTCAGCATAAAATTACTGATACTTTAATATCAAGTCTGCTAACATAAGTTACAAGTGTTTTGTGTGTTGTTCCTCCTTTCTTGGCATGTTAAACGATACAGTTATGTTTGCTTTGTGCAGACAGAGATGCACTCTTGTATAATTATTTCTCAGGCATGTTTCTGTCTCTTTTGTTTCATTTACTCAAGTTAAAAGCAAAGAGTGAATGCGAGGTCAGTGGTTGCCCTGGAGTGTCGCCAAAACATAGTTCCTGCTCGAAGACAAATATTGGCTCAGAGTATAAAAAGCTGCTTATCATAGTTGGTATTGCTGTTAACCATAGACTCAGAAACCAAGTCTATTAGCTTTTTTGCTAATTGAGTGCTCTCAAGCAAAAATACTTTAGTATTAAACAGCTTGTGCTTTACTGATTACATTCTGATAGAAACCATGTTATTATTATTTGATAGTCTGCCTTTAAACTATTGTGTCAGAGGAAGAACTAAGTTTAAATTATTTCCAGGCAGCTTCACTTGCCTTTTCTGGTTTCAAATAAATCAGTTGCTTCAGTTACCACACCTAAAAGAGGTGTAACCTTGCACAAGCGCAATTCACTTATGGTACAGTCACACAAAAGAAAACAGTGGTTGGCACGGTTATTACGACTGCATGCAACAACTTTGATTCGATTGCTTTTGAAATGGTTGCTTTGACGAAATTTCAGATTTGTAACTAGTGTGACTGAGGCGAGAGGTATAACTACCAAACGCCACAGAAACCATGATTTTCAGCTGCCTTTAGTTTTGTTTTATGTGAGAATTAAGGCTACTGCTTTATATTACGCATGTGTGGCATTCATTCAGGGGAAAAAGTGTTTATTTTTTTTGGTGGTTAAATAACTGACAGCATTTAATCATAAACACAAGGTGCCCCCATAGTGGAAATAACAGAAAGCGAAGAAAATGATTCCACAAAACGTGATGGCATTCCTTCAAATCCATTGTTCTGATGAGTGCATTATCCAGGCTATATTGTGGGCAATCACTGAGGCAGGAAAGGGGGTGGCTTTGTGTGTGTGAGAGAAGTATGCCAGAGATCAGGAAGATAATTAATTGGAAAGCGTGCCTGTGCAAACTAGTTTGTCATTCTTAAGAGAATCCTGAGCAAATGAGGCAAAAACAAGAGCTGACTAGTGTTTGCTTGCTAAACACACGTATCTTGTCCCGGTGTTTTCCACACGGCAACAAGAATTGATGGACGGAGATCAGCCTGCAGCCTTTCATTTTCTGCTCCCATTTTCTGTAGAATCTCCAGGACATTAGATCATAGTCTAGACAAATAATGACAACTACAGATAACCATGATTATTCAGTGGGAATTTCAAACTGATGAAACACTGCTCCGCTTTTGGTTTTGTCTCCACGTCATAAAATAACACATTACTCAGAAAATCAGTGTAGTGTTACTTTGAGGTTAACTGACACTTATTTCCTCTTGACTTGATGCTGCCTTGGGATTTTCTCAGATGCCCTCGTTGATGGTGACGTACAAGGTGAATTTAGTTTTGTTTTGTTTTGGTGGTTGTGTTACTTCAGCTCATCGTGTGTTCTGTTTACATAAAGGTGCTGTGTGTGTGTGTGTGTGTGTGCACGACTTGATCTTACTTATTTTATTTATGTCTAACGCTCATGTACGACCAGTTGCCATTTTTAACGTCTAATGAACACACGTGCATTGTAGCAAGATCACAGGGAACATGCTGCTAAATATCTTTACATTAAATTTTGATGTAATGTATTAGCTATCTAAATACTCGCGCTTCAGGTAAATTCTGCAAACTCTGAAAGATTAGTATTGCTTTAAATTTCTGAAGGAGCACGCAGTCCTTTAAGATGAAAACGTTCAGCTGCGTAATAAAACGTATTTTTATTCATTTTGCTTGTAGCGCATCAACCAGATATTTATGATAAAAAATTAACTGGCAAAATAATTTTTAATTGAGCGAAATTGCCTTCGCATCTGTTCGAGCTGAATCACATGGGATAATAACCAAAAAGGCAGAAGTTAATGATGGCAGCTGGGTGTCGACTGTGGAAGTGTAATGAAAGGTCAGTCTTGGCCTTGCTGCTAGCTGTTTCTCGTGACTGCATGCTGCTTCTTTCCTCAGTGGGATGGAACTGTCTTTAAATGTTTTCATTTTGGGTGAATTTGTTGTTTTTCCGGACTTTTATTAAACATCACAGGCCTTTCCACATGCATTTGTATTTATTTATTACACTAGCCTGACTTAGCAGTAGTTCAGAGCTTATCATTGTTACTATGGAAATGTTCTTAAAGTGAGATTGTTTTTTATTACCCAGACTCACTGCACACACAAACACAGATGTTGCTACTTTGACTGATGATGTCTCCAGCAGAGCCAAAGGGTTGTCAGCCTCCTGAGTAGTGTAACAGTAATAGTAGAGCAACTTCACTCGTCGGTGTCCACAGCTGTCTGCCTGTGTGTGTGTGTGTCTCGTCAAGGTAGAGTATAAAACTGGCCAACAAACCGAGCTTTCTGTTCTTTCTGCTTTCCTTCATTTCTTTGTCACCTTCTTTGTCCTCCCCCTTACAGTCTTCCTTTTTGTCACAAACACATCATCTGCACTTTGCAGTAATTTTTCACAGGTGTCCGATGAGCCATAGTAGAAGGAAATGGGACGATCACACAATCAGACTCAATTGCAAGGATTTGGCAAACACCATCCAGCAGCCTGAACTTGATGTTGTAGCTCTTGGTGGTTTTTTGTCAATATCTATCAGAAAGTGTTTTTCCTCCCCCCTCCTCCTCTCCTTTTTCTTGGTTCATCACACACTTTTTGGTTCTCTCTGCTGCCTTTTCGTCACACTTCTGTCCACCTTTTTGTGCTTCATTTGTGCCCTTTCTCCTCCCTCCGCTCTTCCGACTACTCATCCACCTGGCTCCCCTCCCTGCGCTGTCACTGGCATGATGTCAGAGCTTCCCTCTGCTGCTGAAAAATGGAAAATGAAGATAAATTGTCCCTAATAATGTGCTCATTACGCTCCATGTCCCTTTCAGAGAGGAAGGAAGAGAAAGGGGGGGAAAATAGCACATCTTAATGTCTGCATTTTCATTTCGCCATCCAGGCTACCGGGGTAGTTTTAGCTGTGGTGCAATCGAATTTTTACCCCTTTAGGAACTTTCATGCGTAATGATTTTCTGATAATCATCCCAGTTTTCTTTGAGGAGTTCCGTTTGTTTAGAGAGGATTCTTGAAATGTATTTTTCTTGAGGGATACATTCAGCTGCATCCATTTAAGTGTTTGTTTCTCCAGGGAAAGCACGCGCCAAGCAGCCACCACCCTTTATCCAGCCTCTGCCAAGTGTAATCTGTTAAAGCCACGGTGAGAGGACTGAGGGGGAGAATTAAATGACTATAACGCAGCAGGAATGTGGGCCATTCATCCTCAATAGACAGCAGTATGTTATTTCTCCCTGACAATTTGCAGATGCCTTTAGAAGTGACTGCAGCCCTTCTATCGGGGGACAGATTAGTCTCTGCTAAGGTTGTTTGAATGTTGCTACTTTCAGGAGTCAGGCTGCTGAGAGGCAGAGATATGCATGAAGGTTCCTGTGCCTGGGAGATTCTCTCCCACTCACTCGGTCACAGCTGTGCCAAAAGCTCTGTTTATGTGGCTAGGCTTTACATGGAATGAGAGGTCTCTGGTGGTCCTAGACAGCCTCATTAACCCTCTTTTCATTCATCCTCTCTTTCCCATCCCCTCCTATACTCTCGGCTGCTTTCTTTTCCCGCCTTTCCTTATGTCTTCCCACCACCTCTTCTCTCTCCATCTCCTCACCCTCTCCTCACCCTCTTCAAACCTTTGAACAAGAGAAGCTGAACTGATTTCCTGCCAAGCTGCGGCTAGTGGTTATTGTGCACACAGCTATGG